AAGAAGGATTGGCCACCCACTTCTGAAATAGCAGGCCTCTGAAAACCCTATGCACAACAGAACACACGCAGATTAACAAAAAGGGCAACCTAGGTAGAACCATCAAGTATGGAAACACAAGGGAGGAGGAACAGCTATAAGCAGACCCTAGTGACTGGTACATGGAATGTGAGAACCATGAATGAAGGAAAAGCAGAAACTGTTAGGAAAGAAATGGAACACATAAATATTGACATATTAGGCATTGGAGAGATGAGATGGACTGGCATGGGGCATTTTGAGTCTGATGACCATAAACTACCATAGGACCCAGTAATTCTGTTCCTAGGTATATATACTCAAGAGAACAGAAAAGGGTATCTAAGTAAGAATTTGTACATAAGTATTCACAGAAGTAATGTTTGCAATATTCACAAAGTGGAAACTACCCTAATATTCATCAACTGATAAACAAAATATGGCTTGTTCATACAATGGACTATATTGTTCAGTTATTTTAAAAATAAGGAAAGACATGCTACAACATGGATAAACTCTGAAAACAGGATACCAATGAAAGCCAGATACAAAAGACAAACATCTTATGATTCCCTGTATATGAAATGTCCAGAGCAGAAAAGCCCACAGCACGGGAGATTAGTGGTTGCCAGGGATGAGAGAGGGGGAAGAGAGAGGGAGACTAACTGCTTCACTGAAATAGGGCTTCTTTTGAGGGGTGATGAAAGGTTCTGGAATTAGATAGTGGTGATGATTGCATGACATTATGAACATGCTGAAAGCCACTGAATTGAACACTTTAAAATGGCTTAAGTGACAACGATTTCTCAAAAAAAATAAAAAGCCACTAAAATTTAACTCAATACAAACATGTAAGCATAAAATATATTCTTTATGGAAAATTGTGATGATGACAGTTTTATTTCTCCTGTCCCTAATAAAACCTTAAATTCTGACCTGCAGTAAAAACTAACTGGCATAAATGATATATAATATATATGATTGTATGTACACACACACGCTCACGCCACACCACCACCAACTAAATCATCTGTCAATTCCAACTAAAAGAGGCCCTCAGTGGAGCAGAGCTGTCCCCATGGTTTCTGAGGCTGTAACCTCTATGGGGCAGACAGCCGCGTTTTCTGTCACAGGGTAGCTGGAGGATTTGAATCTCCATCTTTTTGGTTAACAGCTAAGTACTCAACAACTATGCAAACAGGAGAGCTTTTATAAATAGAAAATAGATAACGAAATTCTTCTACTTTAAAGAAAGAATTCTATGCCTGTTAAAAAGAATAATTTCTTTGTGTTGTTAAAAGGATGCACAGGACAATATATACATACACTTATTTAACATTTCTATCCTCTGAGGTGGACTCTATTCTTCAGTCAGTTATACAGCCATTCCCAGCCCCCTTTTCTGAATCAGTTAGTGTTCCTTCCTCCATTCACTGCCCCCTAAGTTTCCTACTTAATATTTTTAGTTGCTCTTGTCAATTTGATCCCACAGACACGGGTCTTAAGAGCTACTTGTTTTTAAATGTAAATTGTTGTTGTTGTTGTTGTTGTTGTTGTGTGCCGTCGAATCACCTGCAGTCCTATGTACAACAACTCTGAAGCCTCCCTATCCCGAGCCAATCTCACTGACTCCAACACACCTGCCCACGTTGTAAATCTTTATTAAATGCTGTATAAGTAGAAATGAGATTTCAAAGATATTATCAAGTCAATACTTTTGTGAAATACCATTTTAAGTTCAGAAATTAATAAGTTTCAACAAAGTAGCTATGTTTTCTAAAAATATGTTAAGTTCTCTAAAATGCAAGAGAAGATATAATATCTACATTTTAAAAAGTGGTATATTGGATTACTTTATAAAGTTTAGTACAAAAAAAATTTAAAAAATAGTACTAACATTCAGCTCAGCAGATAAAAATAAACTTTATTTTGGGAGAGTTGATGCACTTATATTGTATGTGTCAAAGAGAAAGACTACAAGTATTTGTAGGAGCTATCGTGGCTTAGTGGTAAAGAACAGAACTGCCACCTCAAAGGCATGCAGTTCAAATCCACCACCTCCACAGAGAAAGCTCTGCAACCTCTTCCTGTACAATTCACTGCCTCTGTAAACGCACTAGAGAGTCAGCTAGGAGCCGGTTCTGACTTGACGGTACTCGACAACAATAAAAAGTAAGCCTTATTGCAGTTTCCGTGTAAGTAGCACTCTAACATGAAGGGCCTGGACCTTCCCTTGAACTTTCTCTCCAAAGCAAGTGAATTCCCCTAAAAAGCCTAAGGTAGTCAGAAAAAAATCTCCCTGCAAACTCTCGCATGATGGCTGGTGCACCTACACTTCCCTAGAGAGCTTCTGACAGGTTGTCTTTGTCACTTTCTTATAACCAACCCACCCTCACCTATTCTTGTTGATGTTTAATGCTGTAGTCAGGTACAAGCCATAAAGACTCTACTGGACACAGATCTGACGCCTAGCCTCTCCTGTGCCATCCTTACCAGCTCTGACATACGTGAGCCCATGGCTCAAAAATGCATTTGTTTCAATCTTGGAAGGTAAGTCATACTTTAAGATACAGAACACAGAGGCAAACATTTCTAAAGGCATAAAAGCAAATAAATTAGCTAAAAATTCTGAAGAGGAAAATGTTGTAAAACAAAAGTAAATCTCTACTAGCCATAGCCCGGTTTTGCAGTCAGCTTTCCAGCTAAACCTAAAATCAAAGGCAGCACTAGAATTGAAAATGGTGTCACTGTGCAGAGGTGGTGGTGGTGGTGGTTGCTAGGTGCTGTCAGGTCAAGTGTGACCCACAGCAATCCTATGAACAACGGACCTGAAGCCTGTCCTCTATGTCCTGTGCCATCCTCACCATCTCTGACACACTTGAGCCCATTGCTGCAATCACGGTGCCACACCCTGGTGGAGGGTCTTCCTCTCTTTTGTCCACCCTCCACCTTTCCAAGCATGATGTTCCTCTCCAAGGAACAGACTCTCCTATCAACATGCCCAAAGTATGTGAGATGAAGCCTGTCATCTCTGCCTCCAAGGAGCACTCTGGCCACGCTTTCTCCAAGACATAGCTGAGTGTTCTTTTTGGCAGTCTGTGGGATCCTCGATATAATAACGTAAAGGAGGAACATAAATTCAAACTCAAATAACATTAAAGCACAATTAAGCTGGACAAATATTGTCAAAGACAACACATTAACAGACACACTTTCTCTCTTCTGATCTATCTTCTTTCCCTCTCTCTTTTTCTCTTTCTCTGCCTCTGTCTGTCGCTCTGTCTCTGTCCGCTTCTCTCTCTCCCTCTCCTAGCCTCCACACACACAGAACTGTAGGTTTAAGAGTGGTAAGAGGTTAGATGGTGTGGTCAAACATTTTATGATTATGAGACATGTAAGATACTTAAATGACCTCCAGTTCATTCAGCAAAGACCACAAATAATCAAAGTGCAATTATATCAGTTTGGGTAAACCACTATTTTCATATTTTTATCACGTGCCTGAGTAAATTCTGAGGAACTAGTTTAAAATATGGTACTGCATAATGTAAATTTTCAGTCAAGCGAATCCGTAAGAGTATATTTTGTTAATTTGTATTTGGAGAAAGTTCTATTTTGTGTGATTTTAATAAAAATATTGATAAATAGAAATTTTTTTAAATACTGATTTAAAAAAAATTTTTTAAATACTGATTAAATCAAAATTGACTTAAGATTAAGGTCATAATACAAGTTAATTAACATTAAAGAAAATAATATTACCTTATGTAGCATGTTTTCTACTGTCCTCATGTGATTGGCAACACATTCTTTATCTCTAGAAAAGATAAGATAAGGCATTAGGGGAAACCAAGCCTTGTTTTAAAGAATATGGGTTGGTTATCATTGATCTTCCACAATGTGACACCTAGCTATATTCTCCAGTATATTCCCACACTTGATCCTATCTTAATTCCCTTAAGGGGGATCTGGTGGCACAGTCCACAGTCATGCTTTCCAGGGGTCTGAATCCACTCAGAGGTCCATGGAGAAAAGGTGGGCAATCTCTTCCCATGCAATTTAGAGCCTGGGAAACCCAGTAGAAGGTAAGCTATGAGATGGTTCCAACTGGACAGCAATGACAGAGAGAAAGAGATCAAGCTAGTGTCCTAAATTGGCATAAGGAGGGGTCAAGGACAGATTCAAAATGAAAAAAGAAGAAAATCCCCACTATATTATTGATCGTGAATGAAACATACTAATGAAATTAAAAATTTTATTCTTTTGATTTCCATTGAAAAGGATTTACAATCTTAGTGATGGGGTATTAAAAATGACAATACACTGTATAAGGATGTTTTCTTTTCTACATAGGTTATTTATCCTATAATAACTGACATGACTAGATAGTCACTGTTTCTAGCTTCTTGACCTTGATAGCTAGAATTATTGCATGTTTCTAGTCAAGCTTCTATCAGTTCTTGCCACTGATTTTGGCTTCAATAATGAAATTAAAAGTCTAAATGAAAATTCTAAAAACAAAAATAGTATACCTCAGATCGAAATAGCAAGTAGTGTATAAGTTCTCCAAGTTTCAAATTAGCTTCTTTAGCTTTATAAGAACATGCAGGCATGGTCACAGTTTCTGAATATCAACAAATAGCAATGTGTGAAGACATACAGTAAAGATTCAGAAGTTCTATAAACTGGTCCCACAGCCATGAGAACATTCAGAGCCATACAGACACATTGGAAATTAAGTAGACAAAGTCCTTCATTTGATGGAAGGGAACTGAGTCTCAACAATGACAATACAAAATTGATTTAGTCAAACAGTTTAAAAAATTACAATGACATACACTAGTACAGTGCAATCTTAGATAGCTGTGTGATTTTTCCAGAGACCTATTTTCAAGCGTTTAATTACTTTGGCTTTGTGTGAATCCACGTTTTCAATTTGTATGAGCAATATCCCAAGGCCAGTGGCAAAACTTATGAGTAGCTTAAGTTTTCAGATTCTCCATCCTGCAATCTAGTTTATAGTTGTATTTCATGATATTGAACAGTTGAGAGCTTCTCTCAAAAGGAAAAAAAAATACTTTAACATATTTTTGCAAGTATGGGAATTCAAAATTTCAAAACCAATAAAATAACTAAAGTAAAATGTTTCTATAATTCTTATATAAATTTTTCTTTTAGACACACTATTATACAAAGGATTGTCTTAAAGTATTTCATGAAATTAGATACGTGCAACAAAAAACTCACCCAAGGGAACAATATATGCCAACTTGGTTACTTGGTTAAAAGAAAAATAACTCTCATTGTATTTAGATAGTAGTTCCTGGTGGAAACAGCATCCTATTTTCTATTTAATATTTTAGTATAACCAGTTATGACAGTAAAATGAATTTTCTATCTCCAATGATCTTCTTACATTCAAAAAGGTGCCAATGTAGACATGCTGACTGTCACTAACAGTTTTTATTGTGCACTAACATTTATTTGCTACTTGTAGCATTAGCATATTATAATAGTCACAGAGCAAAATTTTGGAGGTAGTGTGGTGAACAGGATGAGGAATACGTGAGAGAAGAAGACAAGGACTCTATGCAAAATTTTCAAATACAGAATCTGAGGTCTCACATTTATGAAAAGCAAGGACTCAAACATGTGCCCTACGATGGAGCCCAGGCACACATAATGAGAGGCTAGATAGCAACTTCTCCTTTGCTGAGGCTTCTCGATAAAATATACATTTAGCATGTTGAGTTAAGAGTTTTCCTTTTTGAGGATATATCAGAGAATTTCAAAGCGAGACAGCTGTACTTTTGTTTTCTAACACTGTATTATCCAGGGCTAAAACCCGGAGCATGAAAGTAAGAATTGATCTTTTGTCTGTTTTAAGTGATCTCCCCAAGGTCCAAATGCTCACTTGGCTGCCATGCGGAGGGCACTCTCAGCATCGCGGATGCACTCCTCCAGCCGACGCTTGTCCTGCTCCAGCTGGGTAAGATGTCTATTGAGCTGACGCAGAGATTGATCTTTTCTTCTCAGCTCCATCTTTGCCTCGGAGAGACTCTGCGAGCAGACAGAAAACAGAGTTACTTGTCAGCCCTGATAATTAACTTCAATTTATGCCATAGGCTATTAAACAAAGAGGAATACAGACTGACTGAGAAGTAGACTGGGGTCACTCCACATCAAGGTTTAGCAAATTCTGTGCAAAAATTTTACATATTTACTAATTAGAATTGATAGAACTGATATGATTTAAAAGATTTTTGGCTATAGGATACGGTTGGTTTTGGTTTTTTTTTTAAATATCGCAAGGTAAATGTTGCTTGTTCAAAATAGGTGATTATTATAATCCTAAATTAGGTTTGTTTTAAAAACTAAAAAAAATCAAAGAGGAAAAGGCACATGAAACTTAAAAGTCTATTTTAAAAAGAGAGAATGCAAAGAGAGAGTAAGTGTGTGTGTGAGAGAGAGAGAAAAAAAAAAGAGACAGCAATTATGAGGAAGGTAGATTATAACAAAGGAGTGGAAAATCCAAGATTAAAAAGTATCAACACTTTCTTGGAGATTTAATTGCAATAGTTATTGGAGTGCTATAGACTTCTCAGTAGACAAATCCTACTCCAGAATAAAATTCACTGGTTTCTAAGTACAAATCAGTTACTAGTTTCCAAGCAACTATGATGTCAATAGTAGTAACACATATTTGATCAACAAGTTTCAACCAACAGTGAACAACAGGCCTGAAACTACTTTATGTTTCCAGATATTGTCTTAGTCAACAAAGGACAAAATCTGCTGCTCAGTCTTTGCTTTCATCTGAAATATTTACTTACTATGAAAATTTAAAGATATGACTGCACACCTTCTTAAAAGTTTAGGGCTTTTTTAGTCTTTTTTTAAAAAGACTTATAATTTAAAGGAATGTTTTCTTCATTTTAATTCTTAGATCCAGAGTAGAACGGACTTTTCTCTTAATGCTGAAAATTTGCTCATTCCCTCATGATTTATGGAAGTGGAGCTTACCAGTTTTCAGTAAAATTAGTTGACAGTGAGTTCAATGATTGAATGCATATATCCATATTTTTTTCTTCTTGCTCTACATTTAGCCAACATTAACATCTACAGCTTCAAAACTCTACTAAGGAATAACCAAATGCTATAATTTCACATCTAAACTCTCTATAAACTCTATTCTTCTAATGCATTCATGATTGGTAGTATTAAAAACTGAAGTTGTCCACATGAAGCTAAAACAATTAATCCATTCTGAACACTGACAGATTGAAAGCAATCATTACTCAAACCAGGTAGTTTGAAATGTTAAAAATTTTTCAATTCTGTAGTTCACCTGTCTAATAATAAAGTTGCTACCAGAAAAAAATATGTTGAGGAATTAAAAATAAGCAAACTGTAGTTGCTTATTGGATATCATATTTAATTTTGAATCTTTACTATTAACAAATCTTCATGAACATCTCACTGTGGGACCAATCACTGATTCAAAGTAACTCTTTTAAAAGACAAGGAATCAAATTTTTCTAAAGTCATGCTAACCCCACTTTTTCCATGGTAATGCTGATATGTTAAGTCACTGGAGTATCATGAGAATTCATTATTTAAAAAAGTAAAATCCATTTTAGTCCTTCTAAAGCTGGTATTTCTGACATCTTCCCGGTAATAAAAAAGCTATTTTTTTAGATATGAAGATAAAATTAATGATCCACCACCAGTTATGCATAAAGCTTGAATTCTTTTTTCCAACAGAAATAATAAATCTGGACCAGTCTATTGACATTCTCTTGCTCCGTAACTTCAAAGAGAGGAGGGAATCTGTACAAGGGCTTCCCAGCAATCAGGTGCTTGTCTGCCCCTTGTCCAGACTGAAGTTTGCTTGTCCAATATGAGAGAGCCCAGGACTCGGGAATCATTTTCAAACTGACTTTTCACAGAAGATAGACTGCAACATTCAGATCTTTCCTGTGTATTCCTGTGACTCCTGGGGAGTCATCGAACACCACTACGCCAAAATCTGAGGACACAGCTGAAAAGTCTATGGAAGGACTGTTCAATTACAGAAGAGGAACAAAAGTGGTATTAACAGACATAAAAGTCAAGTTCTTGGCGAGCTCTGGTGGCCTGGTGGCGGGGGGCTGCACTGCAATCCTAGAGGTACGCGGTTCGAGTCCACCAGATGCTCTGCTGGACAGGAAGGGACGGTCTCCTCCTGTACCAGTCAGATCTGGTTTGATGGTACACATACACAAAATAATAAAAATAAAAAAGTCACAGTCCTCTGTGAATATGAAAAGGTGTTTTTTAAAAATAATCATAGTTGTATAACTTGCAAACAATTCTCATTTTAAAGGGTCGAAAGAGAACGTGAAAGAATATAAATCAATGGGTATATGGCTCTAGGTACATATATTATACCAAGACATAAAAAGTGATTCAAGGATGACCTTCATGCTGATATTCATAAATTTTGTTTCTATCTAACACTCAGTTTTAAAGAAGATAAAGAGATGTATTTACATATGAGTTTACATCATGTATATATACACACATATTAATATTTATACGTGTGACTATCTGACATATTTAAAACATACAGCTCTATATGTTGTTCAAGTCCAGCTTTTTTCTCCTCCTGTTCAGAGTGATCTCATTAAAACCCATGATAAACTTTATGGACTCTAATATTTCCAACCAAATGTCTGAAACCAAGAGGGTGTGCCTCCAGGCAGCAGGGCACCAATGATAAGCAGCAGGTTAGCCACTAATTTCTCAAGCAGGGTAGATTGCGAAAGTGTGATGTTCTGATATCCAAGAAACTGTTCAGGAGAGAATAGGATAAATCAAGTTTAATAACTCTGCTCCTAATTGTTCCCCCAATGCTCAACTCTAATTACTTGGAGAACTCTCCCGACTGTCACCTGATATTAAGTTGTTGGAGGCTGAGCCTGGAACAGCGAGATAATCAATAAACATTTAGTGGGGAGAAGAATGAAGATCCTGTTAAGCAGTGGGAACCTGCAGCACCCAAAGCCCTTCTGCTCATGAGAAAACCTACGGGGCAGCCATAGTGATTGCAAAGCAATAATCCAAAGCACTGTTTTTAGGCCTTGAGGCCTTTAGGCAACAGTACATTTGAGGAAAAGAGGTTAACACGGTCACCCTAATTACAGCCCACTTTCACATACTTCATATATAAGCGAAGACAAGCCAATTAGGTAGAAAGGAAGATAAGGGAAGTTTTATTTGTATACTAATTAAACCCCTGATGAAATTAAAGGAAAAACATACAGCTCTGTAATTGTGTCTGAGAAAGGTCACTTCAGGTTCAGCTATCAGAACAGCACAGCCTTGAGATATTTCACTTAATCCACAATACAGCCCTCATTTTGTACTCAGGTCTTAATATTTAAAAAAAAAAAAAATCAAAGCCTGATAGTGCATTTATCTTTAAACATTGTTGTGAACGATTTTAACTGTTGAAAAGTTAATGCTATAGATGATAACAAGTGTTTTAAAAAGCAGAATAATACCCCACCTCTCCGGGAAACAATATCTTATCCAAGATGCTGAGTTTTCTCTTTAAATTCCAAGGTTTTTAAGGCAATTTTTACAAGCAAATTCTAAAGCTGCTGTATTTCACGAGCATAATTATACATAATAATGTATTATACTTAGTGTATTTTTTTTAATGATGATCATTGCTTGCTTTTAAATACACAGCTCATAGTCAGGGCACACTGGTCAATGTTCTCACTATGTCACTAAGAAGATCTTTCCATCTGGTTGTTTATCTGAGGTAATGATGAAAAGCAAGTTACCACTATTAAACCCGGCAGGCTCGAGGGCTACGGAGGAAACGATTATGTGCAGAAGACTTTGGGACAGGACACACACACTATGTATATTTTTTTCTTAACTACAGTTGCTAAAGTTTCTATAAGCAACATACTCTTACACAATATTTCTATAAGAAATATTGAATATCAACACATTATTTTTTGTTTTTAAATTTTATTTGAATAACTTTAATGAACATTTACAGAGATTTTGGATTTCCATTCATTCATTGGTGTACTTTTCTCCCTGCTCAGCCCTCCCCCCTACCTCCCCCCCAGTTTGCTCCTCTCTTTGAAAAAGTAAAAGTAAAATTCTTTCTTTGGTATACAATCCCCTGCACCCCTCTCACCACCCCAGGTGCACTCCACTATGCACCCTTAATTCTGGACTCTTGTGATAACTAGAATACCCTATCATATATTGCTTTTAATGTATTCTTTCCCTCATCTGTTTCAATGCAGTATACATAATTTATCCAGCTTTTCTCATTCTTACCCAAACCCTGATACCAGTCCCATTATTTTTTTAAAGTCACATGTCATTTTGTATTTCCAAGGTCTGAAATGTTTATGAAGGCTAGTAATTTTTCAAAACAAACTGTTGTTATGAATTGAAATTCTATCTACTACTTCTCACTTGTGAGATTATTTTGCTCAGTGGAAGTGTTTTGTTTTCTTTTATAACAATTGTACAATTTACCCTTTTAAAGTGTTCAATGCAATGGTTTTTAGTATATTCACAGTTTGTGCAACCATAACTAGTGTGAGTCTTTTCTGAAGTGAAAATTTTTTTGGCGCACAAGAAATAAGAACAATCGTGTCCCACCTGGGGTACCAAAAAAAAAAAAAAGAAAGAAAGAAATAAGAACAAAAACGGTTATTTCTTGGAGAATTTTATATCAGCAAATTCTAATTCAAAACTACAAATAATATGCAACATTTATCATTTTGCTGGACAATAACTTTCAAGATAAAATTTACAAATTTAATTCCTTGGAATAGAATATTTGATTCATAAGTGAGGTGAAGTACAAAACGAAAGTTCTCTAGAAGTGTGTGCACATCTCTCCTATGACTATTTCCGGATGCCGAGGGAGCCATCCACCGAGTTCTCCCCCATTAGGGTGCGGTACAGGAGAGCCGCAGACTGTTAGGTGAGGCAGGAAGAGGGTGCCCAGAGATTAGCACTTTCATAGACTTCCTATTGTC